CGTTTCCTACAGCTCGACTAATAGTAATGGAACGCCCGCTACTGCTACCACTACGTACACATTGAGTGGTTCGAGTACCTCAAGCGCGTTCACCATTCCACCTCCTTACACCACGACTGAGACCACTGATGGTAGCACCTTCACCGAGATCTTCTCCTACAGCTCGACCAACAGTGATGGAAAGCCCGCTACTGCTACCAATACGTACACATTGAGTGGATCGAGTACCTCAAGTGCGTTCACCGTGCCATCAGCTTATACCACAACTGAGGTCATCGATGGCAGTACCTACACCGAGGTCGTTTCCTACAGTTCGACGAATAGCGACGGTACGCCCGCTACCGCTACCACTACGTACACATTGAGTGGATCGAGTACCTCAAGCGCGTTCACCGTGCCATCCGCTTATACCACGACCGAGGTTGCTGACGGCAGTACCTACACCGAGGTCGTTTCCTACAGTTCGACGAATAGCGATGGAACGCCCGCTACTGCTACTACTACTTACACATTGAGTGGATTGAGTAGTTCAAGCACCAGCGTGTTCACCATTCCATCTCCTTTTACCACAACCGAGACCACTGATGGTAGAACCTTCACCGAGATCTTCTCCTACAGCTCGACCAACAGTGACGGAAAGCCCGCTACTGCCACCTTCACCTACACTTTGAGTACATCCGCTACCTCGAGTACCAGTGTGTTCACCATTCCACCTCCTTACACCACGACCGAGACCACTGATGGTAGCACCTTCACCGAGATCTTTCTCCTACAGCTCAACCAACAGTGATGGAAAGCCCGCTACTGCTACCTACCGTCTACACTTTGAGTACATCCACTGAGTCATATTTTTGCTCTTCTCGAGTTTCGTCTTCTGCATTCTTCAGGAATACGACCACAGAAGAATCTGCTTCAACATCGACCGAACCCACCACTGTATTCTTGACCACAACTTCTTCAAGTAACTACCCTGCAGCCTCTAATACCTTGGAATCCTCGGTGACTAATGCATCAAGGGATATGTCATATCGGACGGAAACCACAATCACGTCAATCAATACTAAGGATGGATATTCGACTGTTAGCAGTGTAGCCACGCCATCGAGCTCCAGAAGACCACTTGCAACATCTAACATACCCACTGGAAACGTTGGAGGGTCGACTGAATCTCGAGTTGAAGAGCATATGAGTAACACCTTGACTTCTTATTCTTCCCAAGTTGTTTCCTCCTCGACAACAAGTGCTAATGATAATGAAGCCTCCGCAATTCAAATAACATCTTTAAAGACCAGCACATCGAACAATGTACCCTCAATTAGCGGCTTTTACACAACAACTGATTCAACCTTAAATGGTGGCACATTGGTCTCTCGATTCACAGCTTCTCAAGAAACTAGTTCTTCAAGCGTTCTAACTGGTTCAACACATTCGCTGGTTTCTATTCCCACGTATGAAGGCGTGGCTGACCGTGTGAATGTTGGCTTACTTCTGATATTTCCCCTGGTACTTCTATAATGGTAAGAAGTGGAACAGTCGGAGAGTCTACTGAAATCCAACTGTTGAGTAATCTGGACCTTTTAGATCGTCCAATATTAAGAGGTTTTGAAATACGTAGAAACACATATACTTTTACAAATACGAACTAAGGGACACATCACTTCAAACGCGCCTTGAAGAAAAAATCTTTGGCTATATCTTCAAGCCGTTTAGTATGCTATTTGCGTATATCTGCGCGCGATGCTGCATATGCCTACAATCAATATCAAACTTTCCAGAAATAAGATGATACTGTGGAAACAGATAGAAAGAGGTAGAATAAATGTATTTATGGACTACTCTGGGTCAAATGTTCGAGATATGGGAAT